TATACCAATGTATGTGTGAAATTTATGTATTGATATATATGTATTTTTATGTATTTAGCCTGTGGTTTATACTTTATTTTCACACTTATTCCACTCTTTTGTAACAGGTCATGGAGAAGCTGCGTTCTGCCATTCTGCCGGAAGTGTTCACGGTTATCAAGGTGACCAAGAGTACGCTCGAGTTCCTGAGATTCGATGCAGAAATTGAGAACCGAAAGAATCTCTCTCAAGTCATCAGTAAAATTGATCAGAAAGTAAGTACTATCTTGTAATCGATTTATACTTAGTCGTTTTCTATGACATGGAGTAAAGAGATTTCTGTTTTGATAATTTATTGTTGGATGTTTTAACCTCTTGCTGCGGGGGTGTACGTGCATGCCATGCCTATTATGTTTGATTTATTAATTGTGTGTACAGTTAATAAACAAGTGCTTAGTCAATTACTAGTCCTAACCATCTTACTTGTTTAAACCAACTTTACACCATTTTTTCACATGGGCCATACTACTTATACCTCCCCCATGTCGGCTTCCTGTAGCAAGGTTTGCCACCCCAAGGAAGAGGGATAGATAGATGAACCAAGGATTGGATGGATTGATTGAGGGTGAAAGGGATTTATGGGTGGAATGATGGAAAGAAGGATGAACAAATAGAGGAAAGGAGGGAGAGAGGGAAGGATGGCAGGTAGGAAGGAAGGAAGGATGTGAGAAGGATTGTAGGGGAGGGAGAGAAATGGAGATAGATAGATAATTATATAGTTCATGTAGCCTTGCCACACAACCCTGCAACTCCTCCACTGCCTCAACAGGGCATCAAGCTGAGTGGGTTCTCCGACCTGTTGAAGATCAGGGCGACGGAGGCCAAGGCCCCCTTCCCCTCACGCCACGACTGGGACAGCTACTTCAGGGACGCGAAGCACATGAATGAGATGAAGCCGGGAGAGCGACCAGATACAGTGCACTTCCAGGTAGGCTTTGGTTTGATATTTTACCTTTGAGCATGGTTTCTATATGGCTTGGGTTTGGTTGCAGAGGTGAAATTATTACGTAAATTTAGATTAATGCTGTGCTATAATGGTATCAGTGTAAAGATTACTAGTTTGGCATATACAGATCATATTGTAGAGTATAGACTTTACCTCTCCTGTATGTCTTGTTACTTTTGCAGGACCTCCCATGCCGCTGGTTTGCACACATCAACGATGCCGACACCAACAAGCCCAGCGATTACGTCCTCAGCAAAGTGATGGCTTCCTTTGGGGAGATCAGAGCGGTGGACATCCCCCTCTGTGACCCGTATCGCAAGAAAATGTCGGCCTCAATCAATGGCATCAAGACCTTCAGCTTCGGGCAGGACTTGGTGTTTGAGGCCTACGTGCAGTTCAAGGAGTACATAGGCTTTGCCAAGTGCATGCATGCGTTGCAGGGCAAGAAGCTAGTCTTCCTTGAAGGGACAAGGCATGGAGTGCAACTGTAAAGGTGGGTTTAGCTTTGTTACTGGTTAGTGAAGGAGAATGCTTCCCTCCTGTCACAATATTTAGGTTATTTGTATTAATAATTTTTCTAATTTTCTTTTGAGTGTCTAAATTGCATGATGAGAAATTGTTATTAGTTAAACTGGAGGGGATAGAGAACTAATAAAAAAATTAAAAAATTCCAGGTGGACTTTGACAAGACCAAGCACCTATCAGAGTACTCAATCAAAAAGCGCTCAGCCGAACGAGAAAAGCTGCAGGCTGTAGAGCGTGAAGCTGAGGAGAAGCTGCGAAGAAAGAGAGAGATGGAAGAGATGAAAATGGAAGCTGAAAGGTATGAGGATGGATTTGATGGGAATGAGTTCAAACATTTGTGGACGTACAGACAATGTACATGCAATAAATATAAGTAGAAATTACAGTTATATTTTCTGTTTTAGGATGAGACAGGAGGAAGAAAGAAGGATGAAGGAGGAACGCAAAGAGGCTAAAAAGAAGGAGAAAGAACATCGAAGGAAGGAGAGAGAGGAAAAGAGACGGAAGAAAAGGTTGATGAAAGTTGAAGAGAAGATGAAGAAGCAGGAGGAGGAAGAGGAAGCAAAACTTGCCAGGAAGATTGCCTTGGAGGAGCGCAAGCTACTAATTGCCCAGCGCAAACTGGAGAGCATTCGACTCCTGGATGAGCTTTTTGAGAGGATTAAGGTGTGTTTGGTTTTGGAGCAATAACCTGGTTCCTTTGATTTGGCTCCTGAGGATTCACATCTAGTAGTAGAGCTTGTTACTTGAGAGTTTACAGCTGTTCCTTCCTTTGTCGGGGAAAAAAAAATTATTCTTCATTTAAATTGGGTTGAGAAGCCACAGGCACAAGTTTAGCTTTATGGGGAGAAGGTCATCTGTTAGTGAGGTTGTCTGTTCTAGGTTGGTCGTCAGAAGGAGATCGCCCAGAAGAGGGAGGAGGAGATCTTCCGGCATTTGGATGAACACAACAAGAAGCAGGTGGAGGAGTTGAAGGAGAAAGAGGTTTGT